GAGTTACTCATATGGCCATTACTATGATTCTGTCCTAACCTTTCACCAGTCTTGCAAGTCAAGATGTTATTTCACCCAACATTATTCAAACTTCTATTTAGGAACAGTATTATTTGTTTTCCAAAATGCCTTATGCAACATGTGTTTAATAGGATGAATTCTTGAAGAAGCTGCTGTTCCAATAGGTAATGTGTTTTTCTCCCCTAATCATAAAATGTGCATTTTGGTTTTCCTATAAGAGAGGAATAAAGTAGACATGGCAAAATTTAGGATGAGTTCATGTAGCACACTTAACCCAAAGCAAAATAGCTTAGCCTTAGCACATCACATTTAAAGTCAAGACAGTATATAGACTATGATTTGCTGCTGAGCAATTTCTGCAAATCTGTCCAGTTACAGGTTACTATATCATAGTTAGACAAATCATGATTTAGTACAACTAACTATGCTTTATAATGAGGACCAACTTTGCATCTCAGTAGCCCCTCCAAATGATAATAGGCAGCAATAGAGGAAAACTGTGTTAGGGAAATAAAAAGCTGCCTTGCTAACATCAGCATTTTACATGTAGCCACTTAGTAGTACAGCATCAACAGCAGGTGCACTTCCACAAGTTGTGACACATGACCTTTGGTTAAACTGCAGAACACAACTATTCAGGTGCATGTTTGCTTGCAGCAAGCAGAGGCTGACTTTGTGGCTTAAAAGATGTTAGCAGCTAGACATTGTTTTAGGATTTAAATTCTGTTGGCACTCCTTGCTAATTTTCAATTTAAGCTGACACTTCTTTTTAAAAAAGCTTTGTAGACAAATATTTTTTTAAAAATCAATTGTAAATACAGTGGTACTTTGGTACACATTGTTAGTTGCTTCCGGGATGTGCAATGAGTACTAAAAACAATGAGTACCAAACACATTTTTCCAAAAAGGAAGCCAACACAAGTTCTAGCTTGTGCATTGAATATCAAACAAATAATGAGTACCAGGACAAAATTTTCGTGTCACAATGCATTGAGTACCAAATTCTATGAGTTTCAAAGCAGTTGAGTATGAAGGTACCACTATAAATAAATTAAATTAGTCATCCTCTAAATTGGTTCTATCTAGTGAATTGGGGAGCTATAATCTACATCAGGAAGATACCCCATTGGGAAATATTGATTACCTATAAAGAAGTTTGATTGTGATATTTCCACATATATTTTCATTTTCTCTCTTAAAGATATTGTCCCAACATTCCTTTAATAAATCATGGATTAACAAACCATAATGAAAAATCATTTTCATTTCACCAAGTCATTTGAAACCAGGCAAGCAACAACTTTCATTTCACCAAGTCATTTGAAACCAGGCAAGCAGCAACAGACTGGCAACTTCAAAAGACTAAACAAGAGTATTATTATGTATAACTGCTGCAAGATTATTATATGCACAATAATTAACTCTGAAATACCCACAATAAAGGAATGGTTGCTGAAGATGACAAAATTAGCTGAGTTGGCAAATTTGACCAGTTTGATTAACGGAAGGTCAATACTTACATTTATTAGTACTGAAAACCTGCTATGGACTTTTTACTGAAAAAAACATGAACTTGTGATTTATGGGTTTAGAAAGAATAAACTAGGGAAAGAAAGAAATTATGTTGCAACCATAGAGTAAAATAGAAATGTACTTGTAATTATTGTTAAGACCAGAAGTTGCTTCTGTATAACTTTTTTTCTTTTCTGTTTATTTCTTTGCACTTTTTCACTTATTTTTCTTTCAAAATGTTTATTACCGTGTTTTTTTTAAAAAAATTACACACACATATATACACACTACAATCTCACAATCCGGAGACTTTATGTTTATACATTCTCCTCCCCTGTGAACCTTTATTTAGCAATTGAAGGAAATCTACTGGCTGTTATACTCTAGTTTCTTTTAGCCTGTCAAGTATGCTCAAAATGGTGGGAATATTGGTTGGGCTCCATTTGGCAGGTCACACATTCTCTATTGTTGCTATCAATGTCTTGCATTTTAAAAAACAAACAAAACCCAAATATTTACAGTTATGTTTCATTCTATGTATTTATTTCAACTATTCAGCATTTTTATAAGCTGTGAAATAACAGTTATTCACTTCACACATCACACTAAGCCAAAGCTAAAGAAACCACCTTGATTAAGTGGGAAATTTGAACTGAGTTAAGAGTTGGAACTTTTAGACTCCTCACCTCACCTATATCAAGTGAAAGAATACAAACACATACATATATTAATATATCACAACACAGAAATCATCTTTGGACATTGGCTTTCATGGAAACATTTTTTTTATTTTTTAACAGTACACTCAATTATTTTAGAAACCTGAAAGGCCAAAAGTTTATTGCATATTTTAATATCCAGTAGAGCGCTAACTCTCCCATTCTACTTTCCAACTTTCTGTTTGTCATGCTTTTCTCTCCCAAGGCTTGGGTTTCTGAGTCATCTGAGATGGTGTTGGACTCCCATTCGTGGCAGAAATATTTAGCTTCTGGAGTCCAGGGATGTCCTGTCCAGTCTGGATCAAGTGAAGGATTTCTGAAAATGACACAGAGGTATCTGGAGCAGGAGATGGGTCAGCCGAGCTATTCTGTATCTCTTCCTTGCTATCATTTCCTGCCCTGGGAAATGCACTTGCGGTCTCTGCTACGGCAGACTCCATTCTTCGGGAAACTAAACCACCACACTGATTCCCCCCGGTCATTAGTGGAAAGAAGGAAACCTCAGGCGCGTACCTAAGCACGGGGGGAGAGAGATGGGAGAATCACCTTTGCCCGCACTAGCCTCCCGCCCGGGAGAAAGCTTATTCCCAAGTAGTCCCGAACTCTGGCGTGGATCACTCCTTCATTTGGAGGATCGTACACGAAGCAATCCTCGGCGGATTTTTCTGTAAGTCGTGGGAAACGAGGCGGAGGACTCGGCCTGCCACCCCCTTTGTGATCGCTTTTGTTTGCTGCTTCGAAAGAGCAACAGTTCCATGGACTTTTAGGCTGAACACGCTGGGTGCCATTTCCTTCAGAGATCGCTCCCCCCCCCCCCCCCGTGTCGTGAATAGCGTGTTTACTGCAAAGCAGGCCTCCGCAGAACTTCCTAAAAGCCCGTGAACCTCAGAGATACAGAAAAACCGTCCTATTGCCCTACAGATCCCAGCTTCGGCCAGATCTTTCCCGTCCAGTCTGTCCAGAAGCAACGAGTGTTCCGTCTTACCCATTCCAGAGAGGCTCCAGGAAAAAGGACCTTCCGGAATCCTTCTGGTTTACCGGAAGTTATAATTAAGACGGCAAGGAAGGCGAGTTAGGACAGGCCGTACCAAGATCGATCTATTAGCGGGGAGATACCACAACCTGCAACTGGGCGCTATTCGGTTCTGAGCCTCTTTTTCCTCTGAGCCTATGACACTGGCAGAAACCGAAGCGCATTATCAGGCCAACCTTTGAAAGATATACTAAATGACTGGGGGAGAGCCACCCGGATTTTTGGCAACCCAGGTCTGACATTTATAAGTTTAACTCAGTGTTTTTCAAACTTGGCAATAGTAAGAAGTATGGATTTCAATTCCTAGAATTCTCCAGCCAACATTGGGAGTTAAAGTCCACACATCTTAAAAGTTGTCAAGATTGAAAAACACTGAGTTTAACCCTAGTTTACACTTCATATGAATTGCCAGAGAGATAGTCTGGTGAGAAAAGGCAAGCGGGATGGGTCCTGGTTAGAATTTGGATGAGGAAGCAATACTATCAAAGTTGCAGATTTTTAAAAAATTGCAAAACAAAATTCCAGTAGGCAGCAGTGGAAAACTACTTTCACATTTGCCAAGATGGTTCTGATTTTTTTTTATAGCTCACATCAGTTATCTCTAAACTACAGTACATAGATATTTTCATTTTGAATTATTTATATGTTTGCTTTATTTGTAATTTTTTTGTACTGTTTATGTTTTAATTGTAAGTATCCCAGAGTCACGAATGTGGAGTGGACAGCTATATAAAATGAATAAATAATTCATGAAGTCACAAATAGCAGAGCTCACTTGGTTTCACTTTCAACTGAGTTAGTTGTTTGCAAAAGCCACCAAGAATATTGTAGCATTTCAAAGATTAATATATTAATCAACCAGAGAGTACACTCTTAAATGCCTTGACAATAGTGACATAAGAGAATTAAACAGCCATTGTTGAAAATGGATTGGTCAAAGACAGAATTACCTAAGGAATTACTATTAACACATCTGGTCACTATTTTTAGCATTCCCAGTATTTATGACTGTCCCTAATAAAGTTCACATATTGCCTATTTCAAGACTATGTTATTGAAACTAATGACAGTCTGATTCAAGAAAGTTCGTTAGTTTTAAAAGAGTTACAAAACCTGTTCTTGTTGTCTTTCTTATTCTCCCAATAGATGTTATTAACATGTTCTAAAACCTATGAGAGATGCTAATTACACTTTGCCTTTAAAACAATCTGTGTGTGTATGTATGTATATACTGGCTTCCTTTGAAGAAGCAAGATAGGAAAAGTATTGATGCTTTGAAATTTGGTGTTGGAGAAGATTCCTGAGAATATGTGGACAGCCATTAAAACAAACCAGTAGATCACCGAATAAATCAACCCCAAGTTCTCACTTGGGGCACAAATGACCAGGCTCAAATTATCCTACTTTGGATACCTAGCTGTCTGGAAAAAACTCTAATGCTAGGAAAGATGGAAAGAAAGAGAAGAGGGTGGAATAGCAGCCAGCCAGATGCACTCAATTACAGTGATGACAAATGCACAGTAGGAAGATTAGGTTAGGGACAAATTGTTATGGAGAAAATCCATCTGTGTGGTCACTAAGAATAAAAAATGACTTGATGGTACATTAATAGTCAATATATATGCTGCCCAGGGGCAGTTTGAGATAGTTAAAATCAATCAATAAATGATATGAACACATGTACATGTAAACATTACATCTAATTGTGCTTCAGATATTCATGCTTTTAATACTAGTACAAAATCTGTTTGTGACAATGGAAGTACAAAGAGACAAGCCATTTTGAAAATATTAAAAAGGAAAGTGACTTAAGCAAAAACCTTGGGGGTTTTGCCAAGCAGCTGTGCAGCTGTTACCAATGGGAAAGGAAAACGGTGGTCAGAAAGAACTTCAGTTGAATTTGTCAGTTACAAACACACATTTCAGAGGCATCCTTGTTCCCTGAAATGATGCTGTGGGCTTTCCAAATGAATTTGGCCTGGAGGCCATTTGGGCATCTCTTGATCATTGCAGTTCTCCAGCTTCTGACATGTGAGTAAGATTTTCAGCACTTCTTTGGAAAAGAAAAAGAAAAGCTATTGGAAAAACATAGGTGAGTTACATAAATAAGGCAATGGTGCTGGAAGACGTGTAAAATTCTATGAATGAAGAAAAGTGACTGCACAAGGAGAGGGGAAAGAACTATATTTTTATGGAAAAAGAGATATATCCCAGTGAACCTCCAAAAACAACAATAATCTTAATTGTTTTTCTGTAAACTAATTTTGTGCATGCATCTTTATAATAAACCATTTCTTTGGATAACAGGTCACCACTCCTTAGGTCTATTTTCAACTCTGACACCACCACTCTACCTGGAAATAAATGGTGAAAGAAAGATCCTGATTTTATGTTTGGTGAATGACTTCTCAGAGGACTCACTGGGAATCACGTGGTTTTCCAATGGAAACGGGAGCTTGTTGGATGCTTATACTTATGACATTTTCAAGGAAGAAGATGGCTCTTTCAGCACAATCTCACAAATTTCCATACCCAGCAAAGAATTTGAATCATGGAATATTGTCATTTGCTCGGTTGCACAAAATCAAAACTCAAGAATATGGAACACTACCTCTCTACAAATCTCTGGTATTTATCAAAGGGGGAGAGAAATATTTAAGTGTAAAAAAAGACATTAAATTATAATATTATTGCTGGGTTCATAAATTGCATTAATTCTGACTTACTTAACCATTGTTTATTAAATAAAGCGGAGTTGGTTACTTTAGCATGTTATGCTGAATAATTTTATGGCTTACAAGTGTGACTGAATTCACAAAATAAGCTAAAACCAAACATACTGGGGCTTTGCTTTCCAAAGTAAAGTAATAAATTAATTTGTGCACACTGGCCCCATATAAATAGAAGTAGCAATTTTATTAGAGTTGGCCAGGCCAGAAATAAATATTCCAGTTATCCCTGATAACTAAAGTGGGTGCTTAAAAATTGTGAAGTCTTCTGAATTTTCAATATTTTTGCATAAATATTATGTAAAACATCATCTATTCTTCACACAAGTCCTAAAAACTACATGAAGAGAACTCAGTTAAAAATCAATCTGTTCATTAACTTTACTAAAGACATGAATTACTTGGAAGCTTTAAGTAAGGATTCAAGAAAATAATATTTCATAGTTACTATTATTTTTTTCCAGAAGAACAATATATGGATGATCTATGTCTGTATGAAAATCAAGGAGGTAAATACAGAATATTTCCTTATTTTTCCAAGTAGTTAGAGAGTAAGCATCTAGAGGGAAGTTACTTTGCTTCATTTGATCACTTTTTATGGACCATTCAGTTGATCATTGTTATTGTGCTCTATCTTTTCTCAGACAACAGAAAGGCTGCCTTGTAGCATTCGGAAACTTCAACTAGTGGAAATGTGGCTGCAAGAGTAATAACTGGTGCCGATTACATGACACATGTAGCACCAGTGCTCCATGAGCTACGCTACCTGCCAGCGTGTTTCTGGGTTCAGTTCAAGGTGCTTGTCACCTTTAAAGCCCTACGTAGCTTGATACTGGGTTATCTGAGGAACTGTCCTTTTCCACAAGTTTCTATCCATACAATCTGATCCAACAGATTGGGCATGCTGTAGATCCCATCAGCCAAAGAGTGTCAGCTGCCAGGAACAGAAGAATGTTTTTTTTTTAATGTAGTCCTGCGTTATGGGATATTCTTCCCTTGAAGATTAAAATGGCCCCAGTCCTGTTGACTTTTTGTAAAGCTGTAAAAACTTGACTGTGTATACAGGCCTGTGGCTTGGAATGTGTTAAAGGTCCATTACTTAGTTTTACTATTAGATGATTAATTATCACAGCTGCTACTTACAGCTATTGATTTTGTGGATATTTAATCATTTTAATACTTTTTTAATTGTTTTATAATTTTAAAATTGTAAGCCGCCCAGAATCACTTATTTGAGTTGGGCGGCTATGGAAATGTAAATAAATCATTCCAAAGAAAACCTGTTGAGGAAGTTTAACCTTTAACCTAATTCACAGAATGTGGTCAAAATGTTGCGTGTTTGAATACTATATTTTTGTTTACATTAAAATGATTTCTATGTGACTAAAATAGCTGAAGAGGCAGATTGAAATAATATTTGATTTTTCAACCAACAGAGCAAATGACTTGTAAAACTGTAGTGACACACATTCATAATTTACTGTACAGTAATAGCTCCTAATTCTGAATTTGTAGTTTAAAGTAAGTTCAAAGAGATAGCTAATAAAAGCACAGAATATTTCATGTGAAAACATCAGGACCAAAAATGTCTGAATATCTGCTGCAAATATTGCTATATAATACTGTTTTTGTTTGCTTTTTTATAGTAGTGGAGGAACAGATGTTGTCCATTGAAATTCTGCATAATCGTACACAAGAATTACATCTTCTGGCCATCAGAACTTTGCTATTCAAGTTCCTAATGTTTAATGTGCTGATGACCTGCTGCATTCTTTACAAAAGATAAATAAAACCATAGTGCATTGTTACCATAAGCTCAAATTATAAAAAATGAACATGAAAAGAGCTGCTAACACTATTTTTAAAATGCATGAAGTGCTTCAAGGAATCTGGAACAGAATGCTTCAAATAGTGATGAACTGAAATTGGGGATCTGTTTATCGGATATGCTATGAATATAACACAAAGTAGATTATAGCGCCTTTGAGGTCACTTTCAATCCTATTATTTTGTGATGTCCATTCAGAATTCCATGATCATAAGAAAGTATCCAGTTATTTACTCCCAGACTCCAACAACTGAATGATGAAAGCAATCTTTGACAGAACTGTTGATCAGTGGGGGAACTCTGCATTTGGTGGCTTAAAGACACATCAGACTGATTCCATGTTGCTGCTTAATCATCATCAGGATTAATACAATGTAAGAATTTAAAATGTGCTGCCTTAATCATTTATTAAACCATTCACGATTCATTAAAGCATCATCATTATCATCATCATCTTTTTCAGGCTTGTGTGGAAGTTTGAAAAAAGATGAGCATGCATTAATATCAATATCAGCAACTTTAAGATGCATGGATTTCAGCTCCTAGAATTTCCCAGCCAACATCCCTTTTCTCCATTTTGTGGGTTCACTTGGTCCCCTGTGGTGGAGGTGGCTGCTTTGTTTATTGGTGCTTTTTTTCTCTCTCATTAAAGGTTTTGATATCCTTACTTGGGTTGTTTTTCTTTTCATGAGCTATTTTGCAGGGAGCATCTTAAGAATTGGGAAAATGGAGACGGGAATGGAATCCTTTTTAGTTCTCCCACTGGCATCTTACCTTCTGCCTTTTATGTCCCTGTAGAGAAAGGAAGGGAAACAGGTTGCTAGAAAGTATCCTTAGATTTGAGTATTGTAAACATGATGGGGATTATTGAAACAGGTAAAAGGAAAAATGACAACAGGTAGAGGCAACTGGAATGAGAGGAGTAAATTTTTGTGTAGATCAGAACTTGGGACACTGCTAGTTTTTTCTTCTTCTTCCCATTTTCCTCCCTTCCCCTCACTATTGCCTCTCCTGCTAACAGGGGAGGGGCTAAGTTATTACAACCCCTTTCTAGTGCAATAGTGCAATGGCTTATGAGATTCCAGGGATTTCCTGGAGAAAGTAGATGGCAGTTCCATATTTCCAACTGCTGAATCTCTGACTCGGTTAATATGACTGCAAGCTGTCAGATATACTGGCAAAGATAAGTAGGCCAGCAACTATTTGTATTGTTTGTACCAGTGATGGCGAACCTTTTAGAGACTGAGTGCCCAAACTGCAACCCAAAACCCACTGATGCATCGTCGGGTGCCCGGTGGGTATGGCCCATTGGCTGGGTGTGGCTGCGGTGGTAACAGCAGACTGGGTGGGATTAAAAAGTTCAATCAATCAATTCCAACTTTACAAGATCTTTTTTTTCCCGCAAGAAGTTGAAATTGACTGATTGATTGAACCTTTTTTTTCTTGTGTACACAGTGGAGGCCTAAGCGAAAAGGTTTTATAAAACCCAGCTGAAGGCTTAGGACTGGGGCGATGGCATGCATGCCCACAGAGAGGGCTCTGAGTGCCGCCTCTGGCACCCATGACATAGGTTCGCTACCACTGGTTTGTACTGTAGTAATATGACAAATGAAGAGTTACAAAAATGAACTGAAGGCAGGTAGCTCCAGGCTAGGAAATCTAAAGTTTACACCTGTAATAACTGTAGAATAATGACCTATTTAATTGTGGCATAGAGAAATTCCAGTTTTAAAGTTATTTGTGCCACAAGCTTATGGAACAAATCTTTTGACTTTTAGTTTCTCTCAACAATAGAATAGAATCTGAAAGGGACCTTGGAGGTCTTCTAGTCCAGCCCCCTGCTCAAGCAAGAAGACCTATATCATCTCAGACAAGTGGCTGTCCAGACTCTTCTAAAAAATCTCCAGTGATGGAACGCCCACAATTTCTGGAGGCAAGTTGTTCCACTGGTTAATTTTCCTCAGTCAGGAAGTTTCTCCTTAATTCCAGGTTGCTTCTCTCTTTGATCAGTTTCCAACCATTGTTTCTTGCCCTGCCTTCTAGTGCTTTGGTGAATAACATGACCCCCTCTTCTTGGTGGCAGCCCCTCAAATACTGGAATACTGCTATCATGTCTCCCCCATTTCTTCTTTTCTTTAGACTAACCAAACCCAAGTCCTTCAGCCATTCTTCGTATGTTCTAGTCTCATGGCCTTTAATCATCTTAGTTGCTCTTCTCTGAATTTTCTCCAAACTCTCAACATCTTTTTTGTGATATAGTGACTAGAATTGGCTGGAGTATTCCAGGTGTGGCCTTACTAGGATTTTATAAAGCCGTACGAATACTTCGTGTGATCTTGATTCTATGCCCCTGTTTATACAACCCAGGATTGTATTAGCATTTTTGAATACTAATGAATTCTCACAACACAATGGATCTAAAAATAGCTAATCTCATTTTAACAGGCTATGCAGATCCAATCAATATGATTTGATTACAATTTAGTGTTTTATACAAAGTCAGTAAATTTGATTAATTAAATCAATGATGGCTAGATTAATGATGAGTAAGCATCTTGTGCAAATATAGCTACATGCCTGTAACGGGAGAGCATCCTACATCCTTCCAACTTCTACTAAATCCAGCCAGCATTGTCAGTGATAAGTGAAACAGGAGCTGTAATTCAGGAACATATGAAAAGCCACAGGTTACCTACTATGAGGTTTGTACATGAGCTTTATAAAGTTCTTGAACTTAGTAACGTATGTTTTGAGTTATCATCAAGTGATGAAAGACTAACAACGCAATCCAATGTATATTTACATTAAAGGCTCACTGAGCTCAATGATTTCTTCTTCAATGAATTGGATAATTATTCCTAGTCAGTCCATGTGGCAAGTTCAGAGAAAGCACGCATACCACGTAGTTTAGCTAGCAAAAAATACAGCTTGATTTTTATTTTATTACAAAACAGCTAGCAAAATGAGATAAAGCAGGCAAAAGCAGAGAGAAAGAGGGAGGGGGAGGGGCGGACCACAGGTAAGAATCTACTTTATTTATACATCCACATCTAAATATTAAAAGACAAGAAACTTCCACAGTCATAGGAAAAGTATATTTGGAAAATAAGTACTGTATGGACAGTTCCAACATGAGTAGCCTTTAGTTATTCCAGTTTTAAATCTTCTATGTATATTGTGGTAGTAGAAGAGAGATGGAAAGTAAGACAGCAGATGATCCCTACTGTATTCTGTAACACAAAGAAAATGATTTCATAGATGAGAATGGGGTATCAGAATGGAATTATGCAATACTATCTGATCCCTAGAAACTTTTGTCTCCCCAGAAACAAAGGACTGCAATTTTGAGGTGTGTAGTTTTAAGCAAAGTGAGGACTTCAAGGTAAAGGAAGATTTTATTAAATCTTTTCCCACTTGTAGCCATACTGATAAAACTGAACACTTACATTTCTATTAAGAAAGGTGGAAGGAAAGAGGACAACCAGGAGCAAGGTGGATACTCAGTGGCAACAGTAGGACACTCCTGGAAGAGCTAAAGGACCAGGCAGGCTAGGGCAGGGGTCAGCAACCTGCAACAGTGAAAGAGCCACTTGGATCCATTTCCCTCACAAAAAAAAAATCCTGGGAGCCGCAAAATGTGCGCGCGCACACGCGCGCGCACGCGCATGCGCACAGAACACAGGGCTTGATTGAAGAGAGGAGCTTAAGGCAAAACGTGCGCCTGCCCTGCCCCCCATCCAGCTCTGGTATGAACGGGCTCTGCAGTCCTGGCTTCTCTTCCCTTCGGAAAAGACTGCTCTCCCCTCACCCCGCGCTCTCCCTCTCTGGGACTTTCTTCTTGCTGCCTTTTGGCGCGAAGGTTCCCAGGGAGCGGAGGAGGAAGCCGACGGAGAGAAAGAGCTGCTGCAGTGAATGTTCTGAGGCAGCAGAAGACGGTCGCTCGGGCTCGCCTATCTCAGCCTGCTGCAGGAGGCTGGAGTTGAGGCTTCTGGTTTGCTCTGGGAGGGGTGCTTGGAAAAGGGAGGATGGGAAGCGGAAAGTGGGAGAAAGGACGCCTTCCAGCTCTCTGGGGTTCTTTCGCTGGGAGGTGAGGAAGCAGCAGTTCTGCTCCGTGGGAGGTGGGAGCAGGCAGCCTCTCCTTCAAACTTTGCCAAGTGACTCCAGGAGCGAAGCGAGCTACGAGTCCTAGGAATGTCAACTTTGCGAAAGAGGGAGGCGATGGTGGGATTAAAATAAAACGGGGGGGGGAGGTTGAGGAAACCCAGCAGATGCTTACATCAGAGGGCCAGCAAGAAAGGCAGGGAGAGGAAGAAAGCTTTCGGGGCTTGTGCACAGACATAGCGGACTCTTTCTCGTCTCCTGCCCTTGCTGCATCTCCTGTGGAGATCATTTGCAGCTCTCTGTGTCTCTGCAGCTTGCTTCTTGAAGCGATTTCAATCAGCCCCATTCATTGCCAAGAATCCCCATGGAAGTCAATGGAGGTCTGCGGCGAATCAAAAAGCCAGCTGCAGTACCTCCACGTCCGTTGATTTGACCGGCTCAGCGGCCCGGGGACGAGCAGGAACCGATGCCCCCACTGCCCGCCGGGCTTGCTGCCTGGCCTGGGGAAACACAAGGCAGGCTTAGCGCCCCGGGGACGGCCAAAACCCAATGCCCCTGTCGGCCGCACTGCCGCCCAGCCCGGGGAGACGCGAGGCAGGCTCAGCGCCCCGGGGACGGCCAAAATCCAATGCCCCTGCCGGCCGCCACTGCCGCCCAGCCCGGGGAGACACGAGGCAGGCTCAGCGCCCCGGGGACGGCTACAAACAAATGTCCCCGCCACTTGCTGCCTGGCCCAGGAAAAAACAAGGCTGGCTCAGCGGCCCGGGGACAGCTACAAACCAATGCCCCTGCCGCCTGCCGCACGGCCCGGGAAGATGCAAGGCTGGCTCAGTGGCCCGGGGACGGCCAAAACCCAATGCCCCTGCCGGCCGCCACTGCCGCCCAGCCCGGGGAGACGCGAGGCAGGCTCAGCGCCCCGGGGACGGCCAAAATCCAATGCCCCTGCCGGCCGCCACTGCCGCCCAGCCCGGGGAGACGCGAGGCAGGCTCAGCGCCCCGGGGACGGCTACAAACAAATGTCCCCGCCACTTGCTGCCTGGCCCGGGAAAAAACAAGGCTGGCTCAGCGGCCCGGGGACGGCTACAAACCAATGCCCCCGCCGCCTGCCGCACGGCCCGGGAAGATGCAAGGCTGGCTCAGTGGCCCGGGGACGGCCAAAACCCAATGCCCCTGCCGGCCGCCACTGCCGCCCAGCCCGGGAAGATGCGAGGCTTGCTCAGCGGCCTGGGGATGGCTACAAACCAATGCCCCCGCCGCCTGCCGCACGGCCGGGGAAGATGCGAGGCTGGCTCAGCGCCCTGGGGACGGCCAAAAACCAATGCCCCTGCCGGCTACCACTGCCGCCCAGCCCGGGGAGGCGCGAGGCAGGCTCAGCGCCCCGGGGACGGCCAGAAACCAATATCCCCGCCATCTGCCGCCCGGGGAGACACGAGGCCGGCTCAGCGGCCCGGGGACGGCTACAAACCAATGCCCCCGCCGCCTGCCGCACGGCCCGGGAAGATGCGAGGCTGGCTCAGCGCCCTGGGGACGGCCAAAAACCAATGCCCCTGCCGGCCGCCACTGCCGCCCAGCCCGGGGAGGCGCGAGGCAGGCTCAGCGCCCCGGGAACGGCCAGAAACCAATATCCCCGCCATCTGCCGCCCGGGGAGACACGAGGCCGGCTCAGCGGCCCGGGGACGGCTACAAACCAATGCCCCTGCCGCCCAGCTCGGGAAGATGCGAAGTCAGCTCAGCGGCCCGGGGACGGCCAAAAACCAATGCCTCTGCCGGCCGCCACTGCCGCCCAGCCCGGGAAGACGCGAGGCTGGCTCAGCGGCCCGGGGAGGGGCAGGAACCGATGCCCCCGCCGGCTGCTGCCCCCGCTGGGCCTACCGCCTGGCCCGGGGAAGGGCAGGAACCAATGCCCCTGCCGGCCGCTGGCCCCGCCAGGCCTGCTGCCCAGCCCAGGGAGACACGAGGCCGGCTCGGCTGCCCCTCCGCCTGGTGCAGGTAAGCCCCCTCCCTCCTCCCCACTCACCCTCCATCTCCGGGTCTGCTCCTGCTTGGCCCACTAGGGCCGCAGCTTGCGGGAGGGCTGGCCCTTTCAACGGAGGCTCTGCTGGGCCGCTCCCAGCATCGATCCTGGGGCTTCCCCGCGCGGCTCTCTGGCCACATGCACCTCGGACTGGGCCAGCCCCGGAAAGGCCCTTCCTGGCCACCAGGGGGCAGGGCATCTGGCTGCAGGGCCAATCGGGAGCAAGGGGCAAATCTGCATGTGTGTGAGAGAGAGAGAGATAGAGAGAAGGGAAGCACAAGTGCCTCTCTGTCTCTGTCTGTCTCTCTCTCTATGAAAATGGCGGAGAAGGCTCCGGAGCCGCAGGAGGTGGCTCAAAGAGCCGCATGCGGCTCCGGAGCCGCGGGTTGCCGACCCGTGGGCTAGGGGCAGGTCATCATGGAGATGGTGGTCACTTCCTGTGGTCACTAAAAGTTGGTAACAATTTGATGGCACATAATCAAGATTGCAATCATTTACAAATTTATCTAAAAAAAACCACCATTGCTTAATGGAATGTACTACTGACCGCTGCATTTTTGTAAATGAGTGTTCCCAAACTGGATGTCTTACAGGTGCACTTCAACTTCCATATTCCCTATTCCTTTATCCAGCAGAGAGAAGCAATTGTGGGAATTGGTCCTATATATTTGGAGGGTGCCCATTTGCAGAAGACGCCTAAGCAGACCCAAAGATATTTTTTCACGAGACTCATTCTGAGCCTATGGAGATTCTCAGTCATCCAAGTCGTAGTTATCCCAAATACGTTTTTTCACGAGGCAGCTGGACTTTCTTGTTTTTCTTTGAAGACGTTTCGCTTCTCATCCAGCTTCTTCAGAGCTGTCTTCAAAGAAAAACGTCTTCAAAGAAAAACAAGAAAGTCCAGCTGTCTCGTGAAAAAACGTATTTGGGATAACTACGACTTGGATGACTGAGAATCTCCATAGACTCAGAATGAGGCAGCTGTCTCAGACAGATCCAGGTGACCACCAGCAAGAGACAGCAAACTGTAATCTCAATCTGCTCTTGCATTTGTACTGGCAGGAAATAACAATTTCAAAATATTTTGGCCAGTCCTGAATAGTATTTCTTTTCTCTTAGAGTTAAGAGATGCCAATTTATGCTGTTTCAGCAGCAAAATGTCCGGGGCCTATTTCCAAACAGAGAGCCTGCCAGTTAGTTCTGCTACAACTCCCAGAATTCTCATTTAGTTCCATTATAAAATGTTTCAGGCCAAAACTAGTTAGATGCACGAAGCAAAGGAAGGCCCATCTATTCCACATCTTTATTACTATTCTGAATAAAAGAAATCTAAACAATATAAAGAAAGCACACCAAACTTCACCACCGTACACCACTGAGTTATTCAACGTTCCCTTGATCCAATCAGGGAGCACTTCGAGCCACCCCTTTTATCCGTCTTTTGCAACGAATGGGGTGAGCGTAACAAACAGGGAGGAAGTCAGACAGGCCAATCAGAGAGCAATGAGGGCAGCACTTCAAGGGGAGGACAAAGCACGTTTATTGGGGAAATGGGAGCGCTATGGGGATCTTCGATTGGTTGGTAACTGAAGCAATCCGAGCCGTCTGTTGGAACGTGCCACGACTGGGACCGCAATTGGTTGGTACAGTTGGTTGTTATAGTTACATTAGAAGAGGAGGATCCCGGAAGCGGAGGGCGGATAATGAGTATCAGTTCGTGCGGCTGTTGTGCCTGTGGCGGCGTGGCAACCTTAAGGGAGGTCTCCGATGGCTTCGTGGGTTCCGGGCGTCTGTGCTTTATTGGCCTTGCTGCTAGTTCCGGCTAGACTGGGAGGAATCGTCGCTGATGACAGCGACTGGGTTAAACTACCCAATAAATGCGAAGGTGAGCTTGGATTCAGGAGTAGGGAGCGAGGGGCGCTGATGGGAGCTGGAACGAGTGGATGAAAACTCTCAAATTTGTAGCGGCAGTCATTTAAACAGAAACTTAAGACAAGGCAAGCTCTTGCTTAGTAAGGTTCATCCAGGAGGATGATAAACGCACCATAAAACAGTTATATATTTTTTCAAGTATAGTCTCAGAATGAATGGAGCATCGACTTTGTCTTACTTTTGTCGAAAATTACAGTATTCATTACGTTCTAGTCTTTAAAATGCTACAGTGCTCTGAAAGTGAAACAATGTTTGGATATAAAGTAATATATTTATCTCCGGCAGCACTAGATCTATACCTTCTCCTAATTGTGAGGTATTTTTAAGTTGTAATCATGAGAGTGATGTATAGTGAAATAGTACAGTAGATTTATAGGATGGGGCAGGCAGCAAAATAGGGAGTAGGGAGTAATTGTGTTTAGAAATTCCTAATATGAGGGAATGTTTATATATTTCTATGTATTATTACATTTGCTTTCTGCCCATTTGTTTGCTGTAATAATGTAATAACATTAGTGCTACAAAGTTATTTTGGAGGTGTAAAATAAATGATTTTAATCTGGGAATGATGGGATAACATCTTATTAGCTGCTTGGAGTTTTTAAGACTTGACTGGATAAAAATGTTGGTAAATAAAATAAATTCTGTGACAGAACTTTCTTATGATAATGAATGATAGCCATTAAATGACTGTTTTTCAAAGGAGGCTGCGGCTTTTATTTAAAATTTTGATGGTATTAATAGAATGGAAAAAGGATCTGAAAAAATGTTGTCACTAAAATGAGGCCAGATGAGTAAAAAAAAAAAAGAGGAACAGAAAGAACTGTGAGTCCCAGAGTTGTGGGTTTTTAAGGTTTCTGAAGTAGGTAGCATTGTAGTATAAAGAAAACAAAGTGAATTTAGATTGAGAAAATGAGTTCAGCAAAATGAGTTATGTGGGCTTATTGGAACAGAATATGTATGTTTTGTTTTATTATATAAAGAATTTCTGTGGTTGCCCAATTTTCAAAAGTATAGCTCTGGGTGGCATAGAGCAATGCTTGGAATAAAGAGTTTAGTACTATGTGTATGTGAATTTTTAGTATATCCATCCATTATATCCACTCATTAAGTTTTGCAAATGGAGTAGTGAGGCTACTGGATTCCTTTACAATATGTTCATTGCTATAAGCTGGTGGAAAATTGAGTCTATTTCATAGATTTGTATTGCAAGATTAATAATATAGCGGATGAGCAGTCACAATTACCACTACTAATTATTTTGAGTTTTGACTGTATTTAGTTTGCAAGTATGTTGCTGTGGAACTGAAGTCTGCCTTCGATGAAACTGGCAAGACCAAGGAGGTGATTGACACAAAATATGGCTTTCTGGATGGCAAAGGATCCAAAATCAAGTACACAAAATCGTAAGTGGAACAAGGTTGCTGAGAAATGTAACAGATTTTTATCTTGGCTAATCTCTCAGGATCCTGAGAATGGATTGAGGTATAAGCAAAATGCTAAAATAAGTATTATGAAGTAAAGTGCCATAGCATTGGCAGACAAAAAACTTGGAGGATGATTAAACTGGCCATTTGTCTTTTGTAATTAAAGCAACCTGAGTTTTCATTTTCATAGTTGAAATAATGGAAATCCAAAAATGTGATTTAATTTCCAAGCATTCTTTTCTGTCTGCAGGGACATTCGACTGATTGAAGTGATAGAAAACATCTGCAAGAGACTATTGGAGTACAATTTGCACAAAGAAAGATCAGGAAGCAACAGATTTGCAAAGGTTGGTAACTTAGAATTCTTCTAGCATTTATTGCATAATTTTTACAAGCATTAACTTGCACTACTTGTTCCTCACTTTCCTTTGGCTGCCTTGATGTTTTCAAAGTATACTCTTTATTCACTCTATTTTAGGGTATGTCTGAGACATTTCAAACTCTTCATAACTTGGTGCACAAAGGAGTAAAAGTAGTGATGGACATTCCATATGACTTATGGAATGAAACCTCTGCAGAAGTGGCTGATCTTAAGAAACAGGTATGGCGGTTTATTTTTGTATTATTAAAAAGAATTTCTGATAGTACTCATTCAGTTCCACATTATGTTAGATAACTTTGTCTGAGGTTTTCCCTTTCTTTGAATTTTGTATTTCTAGCCTTCAAGGGCTGCAGGGACATGGAGTGGGTGAGGCCTACCTTTTTTCCAGTTTGGAGGACTGGGGCTTTTAAGTCACAGAAGAATGGATGAGGCTGGGTGAATTCATATACCTTAGATCATTTCTAAAACAATATATATCATCAATCATTGCTATTCTGCCTCAAAATTTCAGTGTGATGTAATCTGGAGAGGCTCTGAGGAGTCCAAAAAAGAAGTTTCAAAATGGTCAGTTACTTTGAAAAATTTAATGAAGCATCTCATTAGCTAAAATTTATGTTAATCTGCATATTTGCAAAGAATTTACAGAAATTGTTTCGTAGGGAGACTGCTGAAGCTTCAGTGGTTTAGTAGGTCTTTACTCTTGAGTCTGCCAATCACCATTTGGGGAAAAAATATAAATATATATTTCTAAAGACTGGAGGGCTTCTGAATATGCGGGGAGATTTCAAAGTAAGAATCAGTAACGTAAAGCTTGAGTCACAGAGAGAAATCAGGCCTTGGGTATGTCTGGGTATGGTCTTCTTTTTGGAGAGGGGTGCAGTCTGCTTTGTACAGTCAGGCTAGAAGGCACATGATAACAGAATTTCCTGGAGCAAAGCAGATCCAGATATAGTCAGAGCCGGGATGGGAGATTATCCAGAAATCCTTCACAGACTGGCCTTAATTATGTGATGGGGAAAAAATATAATTAATATAGGTTAACTTACTGCTGTCATCTCAAAGCAAGGACCCTTTTACAGTAATACTGCAGTATTGCAGGAGTATTACAGGAGCAGCTTATCTCCTGCTTATTATTTATTCCCAGTATAAAAAGAATATTCAGTATTACCAATTGTGCAGACTCAGTGTCAAGAGCTATGTAGAGGATTTTTAAATTTATTTCAAAATATTGGTTTCCTGTTTTTCTACCCTTTAGGATCCACAAGGTAATAAATATTTTTAGTAATGTATTAAAAATATGATAAAACTCTTGAGGCCACTCAGTGAATTCAAGATAGAAGGTTCAAAATGGTGACTTATCACAAACAGAAGAAACTGTCTTTTCAAGTAATCTTACAGCAACAAATGCAGTGAAAAGGGGGAATCACCTGTCACTTTACGATATCTCTTGTCTAAAAGTGCTTTCCTGACATAGCTATCTGTTGCCTGGACTCCATGTTTTAGGGGCCAGGAGGGCAATTCTGAGGCATTATTCTAAAATGTAGGTGCTGCCTAAAATAATCCCTTCATAGGTAGCCATCTGTACATATCAAATAGTGGAGGAGGGGGGGTATTGACAATTTAAGTGAAAAGAGAGATTTGAGCTTTTATTTGTATTAGCACTCATTTTTAGATTCAGCTTTACAAAAAGAAGGCTTTTTAAAATAAAAAATGTAAATCTAGAATTCTAAAAATACTGAAAATAATATTTTTCTACTCCTTTCTCTTTTGTTATTTTTGGACTGTTTCTGTTATTCTTCAATGATTGGATTTTGGGGCACCTGAATAGCCATTTTATAACAAATTAAATTATCAGTAGGATGTGAATGGATATGGAGTGAAACCTTGGGTTTGTAGCTTCCTCTGCAGAATCATACTGTAATGATTTTGGTTTCTCTCTCATTTTGTCTGATAGTGTGAGACAATGGTGGAAGAATATGAAGATGTGATTGAAGATTGGTATAAAAACCATCAGCAAGAAGACATTTCCCAGTTTCTATGTGCAAATCACGTGTTGAAAGGAAAGGACACCAGTGAGTTTCCCTTTCATGGAATTGATTAATGTGGGTGGCTGGGATGTAGGGATGCTTGTGCAGCATAGCCCCATATCTATCTATCTATCTCTCTCTCTCTCTCTCTCTCTCACTCACTCACACACACAGATGGGAAACATGTTTTTCTGTGCAGTGTCAAGCTCTGTATTTGGGGCAGGAGGAAAGAAATAAAAATAGGTGGGAATAATAATCTTTTCTCACTCTGCTTTTTCATTTCCTGCCCAGTGTTGTTTGGAGAAAAACTTTTAAATTTAGGTCAAACATCATACCTGTCTTGATTCTGTGTGACTTTTAAGTTACACATTGGATTCCATGGATAGCTCTCTCTTTCTTTCAGAAAAGATAACCAAATTGATAACAAAATATTTTCTCACAAAAAATTATGCTGAGTTCAGCCTTTAAAACAGGGGTGTCAAACTGCCGGCCCACGGGCCGGATGTGTCATGAGGAAACCGCGCCCACCCCATTGCCAGCAATAGGGAAAAAGCTCCGATACGTCACGCGACGTCATGTGACGTTGCAGATTTGACATATCTGCTTTAAAATAACAAGGTAGCCAAGCTTGCCTAGGCACACCATGGGAGCCTCATTTTTTAACTTAATGGAAGTGTTCTGGTTAGGAAACAAGAACTGACATAGTTAAAGAGATGGGCTTCTTCCCCTTCACTACACTTTATGAAGAACCCCATGATGCCTGGTTGCTCACGCCACATGGGAGAAAGCGTGGCTTATTTAGTTTTAGTTTTTTAAATTATTTTAAGAATTAATCCATTTTTAAAATTAATACGCAATAATTAAAATAATCCATGACTTATCTCAGGGTGCAAATCCAACTCTTTGGCTCATTAGAATGGCTCCAAGATTTGGCTGGCTGCTGGAGTTCTAGTGTTTGTGAATCAGATTAATTAGAATAAATAAATGAATTTCTTTTCATTTATTTATGAAAACATGTTAAAAAGAATTATTACTTTATGAAAACATGTTAAAAAGAATTATTACTCTCAAAAACCAAGACTGTTGTTGAGAGCTGCTTCCCATTTTTGTTGCTAAGGTAAAAGAGTAAATAATTTAAAGATAACAATTCTTACTTTAAAAAATTTTTTGCTTCATGCCTGAGAAGGAATTGAAAGCCAATTTTATTCTTAGGTAGATTTCATTAATTAAAAGGAAGAGGTGACTTAGGGTGTAATGTTAATACAATAATTTCAGTTGTAGATAATGCAAAGTTTTGCAGTGTTTAGTACTGACCTTTGACCTGTTTACCAGAATTGACAGCCTTTGCAGGTCCAGTCTTTCCTAAATGTCACATCTTCACAATAGTCCTGTGAAATATTAACCTGGAATCAACTCACCAGTCTCTGGTTTTAGGAACTAGTAATTTAAACCAAATGGAAGATGCAGCTTGTAAAGGTTGAAAGAGGAAGAAAAATAGTGATGTTTAAGTCAAGGTAGATGGAAGTGGCAGTTTGATGATACCTTGGGATCTGTTCCTGTCCTCTTTTTTCTAGGCTGTCTGGAAGAAATGTGGACTGGGAAGAAAGGAGACATGGCAAATGCAGGGCAGAAGATCAAGAAAAAGGAAGGCAAGGCAAAAAAGCCTTCAAAGAATAAGAAAGGACCAATGACTGATCAAGAAACAGGAAATATGCAACCAAGCACATTAGAGACACCTGATCAGACTGAAAAGGAAGATGATGGTCAGAAAGTGACTTCACTTTCACACAGCACAGATGAACTGTAGGATCCTCAGAGGCATGTTCCATCCACCCTTGTCTTGTGGGTTTGCAAGCTTGTATTTGGACCACTGAGAATTGCTTTGGCCCAAGGGAGTTGCAAGAAGATCCATATTGTAGTGAAGGGGAAATGGAGAAATGGGCAATGATCATGATCACTTGAAACTGAATTCTTCAGTGTTACTACACCTCAGCAAAGGCAAGGTACAGGAAGCCAGCTTGTTACTTGTATTCTTTGGTGGACAGTCAAATTAGAAATGCTGTGGAAGATGCAGTTGTGTTTGCCTTTGGAAACTGAGTTTGCTGTCCTCATTAATTCCCTATCCCATCACTTTTGACTTTGTCTTGCTGGATAACATTGGTGAAAGAAGCATTAGAAATGAAAAGAAAGCATAAACGAAGACACTCTGATCCTGTGGCAGTTCATTTTTCTGCATTATTCCTGGATTTGGCTATAACCTTCAGGTCTCTAACTTGTACATTCTATTAGGCTATGAGATACATTTAGTACTACCCTTCCTTATTAAACAGAACATTGTGTTTGTTTGGGAGGAATTGAGAATGAAGGTTCTGTCAGGATAAAGGGCATTGAGTTTCTCTCTTGTTTCTTTTTTAAAGTTCTTACAACAAGGAATTAGTTCTGCAGCCATTTCAATAAAAGGAGCATTTACAGATGTCTTTGTTGATGCTTCCAAACCCCCAAAATTTGTTTCTGGACATGCTTACCATTTCCTGAAGTTTTTTTTTTTTTAAAAAATGTAGGGTATTTTTTTGCATGATTTGTGTTTCATTTAGTTCCTTCACTGACCTTCCACATCTGTTCCAGAAAACGTTCAGTGTTCAGAATGATGTAACACTGTTTCTTCAAGGGATTGAAAGGAATGAGATAACCGAAGACCTCCAGGTGCAAAGTGGTCAACTAAAGATCATGTTCAGACTGAGGTCAAATGGTTGTTTTGTGTATGAATCATTTATGAGTTATTAATCTTTTATTGGACAAAACATATTTGCAGAGTTGCTGAAAAGTGGTATTAAAATAAAGATGCGTCCTGTAAGAGGAACAGTTGTCTCTTGACTTGTTTCACACATTATACTAGGTCATAAACTTAGTTGTATATCATTGTTAATGGCTTAGAATGTTGTGTCTCATTTAATAAATATTTATAAACACACATGATTTAGCACAATGTGTGAATCCAGCCAATGTCTGCAAATTTTATTATGAAATTCCTTTGCCATGAGTTGATAAGAATTGTGGCATGTCATTCAGTGATCATATAGATAACCACTTCTTTAAGCCAGGAATGAAAACCTGGGTATAGCTATCTGGCCTTTTCATTTTGTACTCAAACCATTTTTTATATTCTTCTCATACTTCCTAGTAAGACAAAGCTAGAATGTGTCCTGCTATAAGATAGAAGAGGGTGAGCAAAATAGCAAGAGAAGCTCCTTACAGTTTGCAAATTTTGGAAACTTGCATTTCATTTCAGGCCTTTTCTCACAAGAAAAGACAGTCAGCCTTTACTTTAAGATTTTTAAAATAGCTTAGCCAGACTTTGCTGCCATTTAGAGCATTCCCTTTTAGAATTAATTCCCTTTTCTTTAGGAATAGCTGCTATATATCAGCTGCAAAATCTGAACCACCATTAGATGGTGGCAAAGATACAAATGTTTGTAACATTTTGCTGTATTCTGGTAATCATTGGATTTTTGCAGCCCACATCTGGTAAGCCTATATTTACAGGGGCTTTTCACTATTTCATCTGCTGTGAGAGAGATTGCTTTTTTGTCTTGGTACCTTTTTCCAGGCATCTGAAATATTTGTAATGCCATTTATACATTTCCTCCCTATTCCTTTCAGGACAAGTGTGCTGCAGTCTGACTTGTGTGACTATCTTCTTGCTGTGGAAATAATGGCCTTTTAATGTACAAGAGTTGGGTGCCTGCATTCTTCTCTGTGTATCCTGGACCGAGGTTTTCAATCTCTGAATATTTTGCCTTGTCATGTGGCCTTTTCTTCATTTTTTATTAAAAGTTTTTTTTTTTGAAATATAAAATAGAAATAAAGACAATGAGAAAAGAGAGTAAAGGAAAGGGGATAAAATGAGGAAAGAAAAAGAAAAGAAAAACAAAAAGCAATGATTTACAACATCTTTTGGTGCTATAAGATACATAATACAGTCATAATACTATTTACTTTTCTAAAACAGTAAATGCTACCGTTTATATAATCACGATCTACTTAATCAAAACCCAAAATGAAATTTTCATTTTTTTTTCTCTTTCAAGAGTCTGAAAGTAATTTCCAAGTGGAAACAAAACTATTTACGTTCTTTTCTCTAATAAATATAATTAACTTTGCCATCTCTGCCAGTTCCACAATCTTTTCAGTCCATTCCTTTTTTGTGGGAGCCAATGCCTCTTTCCATTTTTGAGCATGTGGGATTCTTGCTGCCATCAAGATACATAATCACAAAGTTCATTTTCCCCCCATCTCTTTATCCAATAGTCCTAAAGAAAAACTTCTGGTTTCCATAATAAGTCCATTTTAAGGATCTTCTGAATTAAAATCTGGAACTGTTCCCAATATTTCTTTGCCTTATAACACATCCACCACATATGATAAAAATACCTTCCTTAAAGTTATATTTCCGGCAAACATTCAAAACATCTTTGTACATTTCAGATAATTTAACAATCTGGCGTTAAATAACATACATATGTCATTTTATTAAACTTCTCTTTTAAGATTATAATTCAAAGTATATTTCAGTCCTTTGCTCCTCATATTTTTCCATTGGTCCAACATAATCAAAATTTCTTGCTATTGAACCATACAAAATATTTACTTTCTAAATTCAACCTCAGCAGCATTTTATATGCATTAGCTGTAAGGTGTTCATCATTAGCACATATGTGACATTTCAAAAAGAACTGGTTATTACAGTCATGTTAGTGAGATTGCTTGGCCTAGCTAGATGGTAGCATCTAACCAATACTGCCTGATCTCAGAAAACTAATCAAGATGAGATCTGACACAGGAATATCTGGAAAATCCTGTGGTGCATGCTTGACTATATTGTTGAAGAAAAATCCTGGAAAAATTAAGTGGCCAACCATTTATGTATTGTGAACAAAACTGCATGGATCAGTCCACGAAAGTCATCAAGAGGTGAAGTTTAGTTGAAGGAAGCTACTTTTTTCTTAGTTTGCTTTCCCAAGGTTAAAGTTCTTTCTGGATTTTATTCAGACCTAACCTGAATTACTGTGGAGATCTTGACTCATCTTTTTCTGTGAAGTGCAGGTTTCCACTAGATGACCATTTCACAGTATTTCTGGCTCAATTTTATGCAGAAGTACTAAATATTTTGGCTTCTGATGCACTTAGTTTGCCTAATAATACTTAAAATTACAACAGAGAGGACAGCACATTTTAATTATATTTACAGTACAGTCATTGTTATGGGGCTTCTCTACTTGCAATCAGCTTTTTCCTATATTTTAATAATGGATTTGAAGATTGAGGTAGATAGTCTCTGATTTCAGGGTTCACAAGTATATAATGGAATGAGAAGAATAGTATATCTAAGATATCTGAAAGTTTTTTTGGGGGGGGGGGGGCTCCTAGGATCTCCATTAAGTGTCTGGAGCTGGGATTCCTAAGCTTTCCCAGTTCCCAGCACCCTTGGAACCTCAGTAATTTTTTCACAGCACCCCTAGGCTACTGACTCATATGGTGTGTGAGAGATGTTGAGTACTGTTATGTTTCCCTTGAAAGTTTAAAATATTCTATGGTGTCCTGTGATATTGCAGGGTACAGCTTGGGAACTGTAGATTCAGACAGTATTATATATGAATTAAATATAAATAAATTTCTAATTAATTTTTATCTTTGCACCATCTATTTTCTAAAATGAAGCTCCCTACTGTCTGTTCAAAGACCAGGAGGACTGCAAATAGAGGTCATTTGATATGTTTAACAACCGCATGTGATTCACTTATAACTGCAACCAGAACTGGGGTAACTGCTGTCATAAGTAGGCACAATTGTTATTTTTGTTTCACAACTGTGTCAGCGATGAATTCCCAGCCCTAATTACAGTCACCATTGAAGACTGCCTGTATTTTTAAATGGTTGTACAATTAAAGATAAGTACATTTTCTCACAAGAGTCAGTTTGTTGCAGTGGATAAGACATTGGGTTAAGAACCTAGTGAATTCTAACACACCTTAGGAACAAAACCGGCTGGGTCACAGTCAGTAGACAAGTACAAACCACTTCTGAAATTTGCCAAAAAATCTGCAGGGGGCATGTCCAGGCAATTATCAAGAATGACTAAGGCATGCAAAAAAAAAAATTGCTTTTCTCAATGTGATGATTACATTTTCATTTTTTCTGTCTCAAAATAGCAGTAATGGCTATGTTAGTCTAAAAAGAACCCCAAAATAAAATCCAGAGTTGGATAATACATTTACTATACCAAACAAAAGGAAACAAAACCCGCAAGCTTTTGAAAGATACTACAAAAAGAGACATTCTCATGTCTTTTTATATGTTTACTTTTGTCAATCTCAGGTAAATTTTGTTTTCTATGATCACTTATTGTCTTTAGTAGATTTTTACTTTATTTTTTGGGGTGTGAAACCCTTTGTTTGGTTTTCCCATTGATTTTCAGTGTGTTATAGCTGCATTGGAGTTTCCCTTCAATATCAGTAAACATAAGGGAACTTCATTTGGAGTCTGTAGTAAATCTACACTTCTTACATTTTCCAACTCATCAAACTAAGCTCTGCATAACAAGTTTACAGATTAGATGCCAAAAAAACAACATTGTGGTTACACATTGTTTCATAATTTGAAGCTGGTGTTCTAACAAAAGGTTTGCTTTTGAAAAATACCTAGAAAAGGGCTAATCATCTGTAGATATTGACTGTCAAGCAATGACAAGGAAAAAAAAAGTGTTTTGGGACGTAAAGGTAAAAATGTTATACATAAAACATGCTGTTCTATAAACAAAAATATACCAGAAATCAGATTCCTGTGCTATTCCCATGGGCAATGTAAACTACTTGGATGTTCAATAAGGAGCGTCTGCTATTGCACTTTAATGTGAGTAAACAAATACATCTACAGTGTCACAGCTGGCTTTGCACTTCGCAATGCAGCTCCTCCATTGGCATTTGCTGCACACTTTGATCCACCTTTCATGTGCAGAAATCTTTGGAACTGTTACACCTCTCTTGGCAATGTTTATACCAACTTGTTTGCTGCTGTATTGTTTTACAGGCTCCCTTTGATCGACTTGCTAAACAACCTTGCTTGATGATAGAAGACATTAAAAAGCAGAGTGAGAATTATATTGAATGAATCAACTTGTGTACTCAGCAGATAGGGAACACGGAGTGTCAATTACAGTGGCTTTCTGACAGACTTTTAAAACTTCTCTGCTACGCCTTTGAAAAGAGCATTTGTTTTATGCATTCTTAAATCTGAATACAAAATCTTGTGATAAGGGAACATGTCACCTTCAGTTTCTTTGATGATTCAGAAACTTGCACAACATTAGTTCTAAGAAAATATAAGCCAAATGTTTCCCTCAGCTGGGAATAATGAGATTTGAAGTCCAGTTTACAGGAGGAGGGACCAGATTGGATGAGTTAACACTACTACATCAAAATAGTTTCAACAACATTGTTTTCCCCCTTTTATAATAGCCTTATCCATCTTGATACACTGTATTATTTCAATGCAATAATACGTGTAATATGATAATAAATTATGAACATACCGTTATTTAGAAAGCTTAAAGCAGGGCTTTTCAACCTTTTCATCCATTGTACCACTTTTAGGATATGGCAATATCCGAGTACCACCAATCGCCTAGCAAGGTGTCAAAAACTTGACCCCCCCCCCAAAAGAAAAAAGTGATAAAGTACAGGTAGTCCTCGACTTACAACAGTTCACTTAGTAACTCTTCGAAGTTACAATGTCACTGGAAAAAGTGCCCCCCAAGCCACAACCGAGCAAGACACCTGCCTGCCCACCTGGTGGCGCTCTTCCTCCTGTCCGAGGTTTTCATTGTTGTGAGCATTTCTGTTAAGGATTGGCAGCGGGGGTGGGGTGGGGGTATTTGGTTTTTATCCCCCCCCCGTCTACTGGGTGCTTGCAGCAGGTTT